CCCCCAGCTTTCAAAGGCCCTTCATTCAGTTTCCTTAAGGGAAAAGAATCAGAATAAAAGCAGCTCAAGGATCATCAACACACAAAAGAAATAAATGGAAGCAAACTTCATGAAGTCCAGTGTGAGGGAAGAAAGGTTATGTCTCATGATACTGGCAACAAGGTTCTCTCCTATGATGGGAACCTTGGTTTGCACAATTTTCAATTATGTTTTACCAAGTCAAATTCATATTTGCTTCTAAATTGGATTACTTCGGTATTGTACACAAATTACTTACATCACAGTGAGTAGCCAATCTGCCAGATTTGAAGACAATAATACTCACTGACTTATCAAACCAACGGTTTCTACAATCTCCAGTTATGGCTTGACTACAAACCTGTCACAGGAATATTCAGATAAAAAACCAATATCAGCAAAGACTAAATCAAAAAAATATCCATTCAAAACAAGCCATTTCCCCCCCTTTGGATAATTAGGTAAAAAAAATAAAATTTTTAACTATTTCAGCTGCAGTAACTCAACCATTTTGAGTGATCAGAATCAAATTTCTCCTGGCTTACAATATCACCCCTGAATCACACATTATGATTATGAGAATATGGAAATGTTCACCAACTAGAGAAGCTTATGATTGCTAAACAAGTTCTCCTTGTCAGCACCTTAGGAAATGTATAGAGAACAGTATGGAGAATATGCACACTGATCATGTTAGAATGTAAAAAGGTGATTCCATTAAAAAAAAAATCTGCTTGACTGTAAGACTGACCCATGTGGCTAGTTTCTGTAGCAAGATCAAAACAACCAGTAATGTTAATTTTGATACTATTCCTGGATGGAATATAAATCCATTTAAGGTAGCTCTGTCCCTAAATTCATTTCATTTTGAGTTTGGTGATACCAATCTGCACCCCCAGGTGGAGAGAGACACAAAGAAGACAAAACAACACAATGACCTTCCTCTGCATTGCTTGAATGCAAACCTTTATTTCCTGAATCCATCCATTACTTTCCTGCACCACTTTCCACTAGCTCACCAACTAAGAGTTATGAATCAAAGTGAAATTTTAAAATTTTACCTCAGTTTTAGTGACAGGATCATTTTCATCAAGTACCAAAACAAACAAACTTGTTTCAATGGTATCTAGAATGCTTTGGTTATTGCTGTCTAATGCTTTCAATCGTTCTTGCAGCTGAAGATTAAATGCAGGAGAACAGTAGCAATCAGTATTTGTCCATCAGTGCAGATTGGACCAACTTAGACTTTTTTCATTTTACTATCAAGGCCCTCTGTTATTCAATAAGTCCAGCCCAAGTATTCAAATATTCAACAATTTGTATTCTTTGTCATTTTTATTGTATTATTTGTCTATTTTGTCACTGTCACTCCACTTTAGCCAGTAATATACTACTAAACCCTTCAAATCCCACGAGTGACCAAGACAGAATTTCTCATAACTATATCAATACAATATCAAACAGACAAGTAATGGGAATAGAGAAATATATCAATTAGGGGATTATCTGTTGATCTAATACCAACTTCTCCAAACTAACATCCAAAATATATAGTATAGTAGACAGTAAGTGAATTACTTTTAAGATCTTTAGAAGAATTCTATGCCCCATGGTTTTCTTTTGGCTTCCTTACCATTTCTCT